GTGAGGTAAAATAACAAAACAATAGAGCGTGCTGGGAGTTGAACCACCGACCCTCAGCTTGGAAAACTTCAATTTACCCCCTTGAGCCCCTTGAGCCAAAGTCAGGCCCACACAGTGCATTAACATCTTACTATTACCTTACATTATAACATTGTCTTTACTTAAAAGCTTCTACCTTCGAGCTTTATAATCTGTTCAATGGTATTTTATCATTTAAGTACATGTCCGTTACAATGCAAAAAGGATCTTTCATGACATTTTAACTATTGTACATTTTGACATGAGGAGGAGAGGACTTGTCAGAGGCCATATTGCAAAAACATTAGTTGAAACTCATCACAGGAAATGACAGTCCAATGTCTTACATCTGTTCAGAAAACACAAGGCTGCCAGGCAACGGCGTAACTATCGACGGTGCAGTTTTTTTGGGGGCCCCAATGGCATTGACCGGTTCACGCAGTCTCAAGTAACCAAGCAACCAAAATTAATTTGTAATTTGTCTGTCCAATGACCTTGCTCCCTTTCATGTCATGTGATACCTTGCGTGACGACCGAACCGTTTAATCAACCTGAACTGTACTGTAGCTAGCAGCAGCAAGTTCGGCAGCATTATAAAACATTTAATAGCTTGCATTTATAATGTACAGCAAACCAAAGCACAAGAGTGGCGCTCAAAAGAGAAAGGACAAGAGAGAACAAGCAGATGTAACAGCTAAACTGACGAAATTAGACCGGTTTTTCATATATCGTCCTCGAAAAGGCTGTTCCTCATCGTCCCAAAAAATACAATATGTTCTATTTGTATTCATACCTCTTAATGTGTGTTTGTATAAAAAAAGAAGGTGCAACAAAGATACATAATAATAATACATATATTATAGGCTATGAATAATAATACATATAGAAAAATATAGAAAAACCTGGATCATGTATAGCACGGTGCCCAAGAGAAGACAGTCAATTATTGCTTTATAACTGTTTAAAAAATGTGTATTGAGAAGAAGCATACAAGTGTAAGTACAGACTTCTTTGGGGTTGAAACCATGCTTCTCTTTTCCAACATAGAAGACAAACAGAACAGCCAACAAGAAATAATAAAGAAAACAAATGAATACCATACTTAATGACATACATAGTCATAGTGGGAAAGAACATACAAAATAGTAATTATTGCTTTATAATTTATATAAATGGTGTGCTAATAATAGTAGGCCTACATTGATTTATTGAGAAAAATATTGCTAAAATAAATAGCGGATATTACTTCTATTTTGAAACTTTTGACAGTTGAACCGGAAGTGGCATCTATCGTTGTTGTGGCTGCAGAAAACATCACTTTTAACACCTTGCTAACGGTCATGAAACCCCTCACTCACAGCATCAATTCTCCGGAGTATTTCAGACTCTATGTGCCCATACCCTAACCTGAAGACCCTCGGTGTTCCCGGAAAGCCTCTCACCCCCGGCTGAGAGATGTCAGTAGTGACGGTGCAGCTCGGGCAGTGCGGGAACCAGGTGGGTCAGCAGCTGCTCCACAGCCTCCTCTGCGACGCTCAGGACGGCCAGAGGAAGGAGCTCTGCACCGCCAGCCGGGAGCGCTTCTTCCATCAGGACACACATGGAGGTAACGGGATTATATAACTATAACATTCTTGTTGTTAACCACCAACTATGAGCACTATATGCCGTTAATAACTGCAAGAATAGGTGGCTGCTAAATCCTCAGAACTGTTACAGGATGTGTAACACAGAACAAGATAAATGTGTTTAGGTAACATTAAGCTGTTTTTGGCTCTTTTCTGCTGTAATAATGTAAATGTCCCCTCTGTGGGACTAATACAGGTATTCTGATTCTGAAGCCTGCTGCTCAATAAAGAAGTTATCAAAATGATAAATAATGACATCTCAAAAGTTTAAACGGAAGAGAATTAGGTTCACATGTGAAAACACTTTTGAGATCTACAAAAAAGGGAATTCCTAAATTCTGACCGTAATCTCAGAATTCAGAGATAGAAAGTTGAGATAATAAGTCATCATCATAGGTTAGTCATCATATTGATGTCGTTTCTTATTATAATGGAAAACAATCCTTTTTATTATCAGATATTATGTTAAGATTTTGAAAAGCAAGTCATTATATCGATATTATATGATTCAAGATTCAAGGCATTTATTGTCATGTGTACATAGCTACAGTGTAGTTATGACAATGAAAATCTTAGGTCACAGGCTCCGCCAACAGAGCAACACAATAAAACAGATAAAATAGTGCAAGGAAATACAAATATAATATAATAGAAATTGTGCAAGAATAGTCTATATACAAGTAATTGGAATATGATATATAATATATGATATGAATGTTATGGATGTTCTTTCGAAAATGCAGGTGTTTAACAGTCTTATGGCCTGTGGGATAAAAATGATATGATCTTGAGTTTCTTTCCTTTACTGGTGGAAACGAGCTTCCATCGATAACACACCTTTAATGTTGCTTCCTAACTGTGAGGCTCACCTGCTGACCTGTCATGTCACCCTGTGTTACTTTACAGAGCTTGTTGCCCGGGCTGTGCTGATCGACATGGAGCCCAAAGTGATCAACCAGAGCATCAGCAGGGCTGCGAGATCCGGCATGTGGCGGTACGGAGAGACGTCACACTTCAGCCAGAAGCAGGGCTCTGGGAACAACTGGGCCAATGGGTAAGGACAGTTCCCCCCAACTCTTTCTGTTAAAACATGTAATAACCAATCATCTGTGGCGAACGAGAAAACATTAATCCTGTGTTTAGAGATTGTTAAAGCTTGTATTCAGGGTTGGGAGCCTTGCTTTCAAAATGTAATCTGTTACAATAACAGTGTAAATACTTTACTCTTTAGTACAGCGTACAGTTAGGACTGGTTTTAAACTCCCTCTTAAACATCCCCATGGACCCTTCATTTGATGGAATTGTAATTATTGTATTCTAACTGCATTAGTGTCAATGTGTTTTGTACCCCTATTTTCACATTTATCTCGTCATTTGACTATACTCTCAGATATGTTTGTTGTTTTTACATTATCATTCATGTGTGTTGATTTGTGAAGCCCTCTGAGACAAATGTGTTTTGTGATATTGGGCTATACAAATACATTTGAATTGAATGACTAGTTACTTGTTAGTAGTTGTATTGTCTCCTGATTACGTAATATCGTAATAACGTAATTGTGTCACATGTAATC